ATCAACCGGAAAACGCCGAAATCTCAATTTCGCCAATTCAAGCCTAAACTTTCCACGGACCTCCAAAATACATTCCGATCACGCTCCTAAGTCCCAAATCACCTAACGGAGCTAACCAAATCATAAAAATTCCAATCCGAGATCATTTACAAACAAGTCAAATCTTGGTCAAACCTTTCAAATTTTAAGCTTTAAATTGAGAACTGTTCTTCCAAATTCATTCTGATTAACCTGAAACCAAAACCAACGATTAACATAAGTCATAATACACCACACGGGGCAAGTCATGCCCGAGAGCTGACGATCAAAGTGCAAAAGTTCAAAACAACCGGTCGGGTCGTTACACTAATGATGAAATTGGACAAACCATCGGAATGGTTGTAGCACAAGATTAAATATAATTTATCTTGATTATGGGAATGGTTTAATTCCAACTTCTTGTGCTAGTACACTTTGTATGTATTGAATGGATCAAGTAGAGATAGGTATTTTAAACTGACTTAATAAAATAATTTCTCTAGTCCATTCAATGTACTTATACTCTTAGTCTTGATATAATTATTATTAGTTGTGTATATCATTTATTGTTTTGATTTAAAAAAAGGCGAGATTCATTCATGGGTCAATACGCCTGGTAAATTGGACAATAATGATATACATTGGCGAAGTAGTAATTAGTTGATAGAATCCATGTCTCGGTTTTTGAGATTGATGATAGTCCTTTATGAAAGCTTATAAGTTTTCATGTGTAAACCCGGCCAGTGGATTTTGTATCCGACGCATGAAATAAGTTAAGTGAAAGTCTAAAGGAAGTATTCAATAAATTAAATTGTCAGTAATTTAATTTGATTGGTTAGTATCTGAATCTTAACATGGGGAGTTAAATAAGGTTTATGGAAGAATTTCGAAATTGGACTAAGGAGTGAAATTACGAATTTTTAGTGGAATAATTCGTAATTTTTTATGGAAGAAATTGATTTCAATTTTCGAAATTAATTCCATAATAGGAAGCCTTGTTAATTAAATTTTGTAGTCCCTACTGACCTAAATAATCGAAAATAAAGGAAACCTTTCCTTAGTGGAAGAAGAAAACCTAACAGGTTTTGAAAAAGGATTTTAACCTAAAAAAACGTAGCTATATATACATGGTATATGGCTGGCCGGTTTTTACACTTAAAAACCACACATTTTTCTTCCTTGAATTCCGCCCACTGGAAGTTTTCTCTTTTCGGATATTATTTGGGTAACACGGTAGAAGACTGTGGATGTTTGCTGAGGTCTTGCAACTCTGTAACTGGAGATGGATATTGATTTGCTTTGTTCACGCTTCAAGAGGTAACCCGAATAATCTCCGTATGTGCTAATTGTTTAATTCACACATGAATATGATACTGTGATTGCTTCCGCTGTGATATATAATCCAATAATTGGTATCAGAGCCTACTCACGTCTAATTAAATGATTAGGATGAACAATAAAATTAGTATCATATTAATATGCATGTTTTAAATTACAGGCAAAGATTGTTTTGAATTCTGTAAAACTGCATTGCTTTTAACATGAATATTTGTTTTGAGTATTGCGATTATTCTGAAAATTATGTAATATCTGCTTATAGTTGATGATATTTGACTAGAATAATCTGAAAATTATATTAATCCATGAAAAACGCAAAAGTCACTATTTGGCCGAATTGGCCAGAAAATCGGAGGTCAACATGTTGACAGACTCCGATTGACCTGAAACTTGCCAGGTCCATGCGAAACAGCCCAGTGAGCAATACACATGAGATATGCTCATGATGTAAGCCGTTTTTTGGGCTTTCGGGGTCGTTTAGATGGTGTTTTGGACGTTTTATTAGTTTTCTGGAAATTTTCAAAAAAACATTTTGATTTGTTTTTAATCCAGTGGTGGTAGGGATCGTTTCCTAAGGACTCCAGGGTTAAAATTCTAGTGATATAATATTTTTATACGTTGACGTAGGTCTTCTTCCATATTGGATAAACTCATTATGGATAATCACTAGGTTATACTAGTTGTTGATTACATATATTTACTCTCCATCTGAGTATGCATGTTGGTTCAATGGAACTAGTATATATATTGAATGTTGATATTCACTTGACTTAAATTAACAGTTTACTCTCCATCTGAGTATGGCCTGTCTAAATTCATGGAGTGAATAATCTGTCATTATATATGTATATTGCAAGAATAACCTTTTCCCATCAAAATTTATTGTTCAAGGATATGTAGTGTGTTTTGAATTTTAATATTCAAATAATACATGACTAATTTTGATCGATTTAATTTAATTGTCTCCTAGATTAACAATGACTGCTTTCAATCCCCTTACTACTATTCTTACTCAAAAAAAACTTGAGGGCCCGAATTATGTTGATCGGAAACGAAACTTGGACATTGTCCTAATTGCTGAAGATTACAAATGTGTGCTCGATGAGGTGTGTCCAGAAAAACCTGGAGATGATGCTACGGATGATGAACAAAAAGCTTACCAGAAATGGGTTAAGGCGTGAAATGGCATGGTGTTACATTCTGGCATCTATGTCAAATGTTCTGCAACATCAGCATCAGTCGATGGAGTCTGCTTATGACATTTTGGAAAATCTCAAAGAAATATTTGGAGATCAAAATCGTGCGGCTAAGCAACTACCATGAAAGCTATTCTGAATACCAAAATGGTTGAAGGTTCATCGGTTAGGGACCATGTTCTAAAGATGATGAGTCTTCTGAATGAACTGGAGGTCCTTGGAACTAATATTGATAAGGATACGCAGGTTGAAATGATCCTGCAGACTCTGCCTGACAGTTTTCAGCAGTTTTGCCTGAATTATAACATGAACAAAATGGATTTGTCGTTTGCAAAATTGCTGAATGAGCTGTAGTCGGCAGACACTATTATCACGCAACAAGCTCCTCCTGTGGCATTGAATGTTCTGCTTCTAAGCCGGGAGGCGGTCAGAAGAAGAAAAAGACTCGAAAACCCTCTATTTGGTGGCACAAATACTGGTGTGAAAATGGCTAAGGGCAAGTGTTATCACTACAAGCAGCCTGGGCATCATAAGAAGCAGTGTCCGACTTATCTGGCCAAGCTGAAAAATAAACCAGGTGATTTACATCTACTTGTCGTTGAAACTCTTTTAGCGGCTGTTTCTACCATGTCATGGTGTGTAGATTCGGGAGCCACTAATCATGTCTGCACTTATTTGCAGGGGTTTCAGGTAACGCGGCGACTAAGTAGAGGAGAAATCAATGTTTATCAAACAGATGGTTTGGTAGCCCCAGCATTAGCATTAGGAAACATTAGTATTTCGTTTGGTAGTGGTAGAGTTTTAGCTTTAAAAGACACATTATATGTACCTTCCGTTAGAAGGAATTTAATTTCTGTTTCTAGCGCTATGAGAGATGGGTATGACATTAATTTTCATGATATTGATAAATGTGTTATTACTCATGATAAACGTTATCTCTCTTCGGCTACATTGATTAATGGTCTTTTTATTGTTGAATCTATTCCTAAACCGTTACAACCTAAAGAATTGAATTATGTTGATTTACCAAATAAGAGAAAACGTTCTCCTGAATTGAGTGAAACATATTTATAGCACTTGCATTTGGGTCATACAAAATCTAAACAGAATTTCAAGGTTGGTCATGGATGGACCTTTAAGTTCATTGAAAGTGGAGGCACTACCAACTTGTGAATCTTGTTTAGAAGGAAAAATGACAAAACGAAATTTCCCCTCAAAAGGAAATCGAGCAAGTGACAAATTAGAGTTAATTCATTTTGGTTTGTATGGTCTAATGAATGTCCAAGCAAGAAGGTGGTTTTGAGTATTTTGTGACATTCACAAATGATTACTCAAAATATGGATATATTTATATGCTGCATTGAAAGTCTGAATGTTTTGAAAAGTTCAAAGAATTTAAGACTGAGACTGAAAAGCGACATAATAAATATATCAAGACACTACGATCTGATCGTGGTGGGGAGTACCTCTCTGCGGATTTCGTTAGTTATTTATCAGAATGTGGAATTACATCACAATTATCTGCACCTGGAATTCCACAACAAAATGGTGTAGCTGAAAGAAGAAATAGGACTCTTATAGAAATGGTTCAATGATGAGTTATTCCGATTTTCCTTCTTCCTTTTGGGACATGCCTTAGAAACAGTGAATTACGTTCTGAACTTAGATCCTTCAAAGTCAGTACCTCTGATGACCCAAAGGGTCATCTTTTGTTTTAGAATCCAAATCCATATTCCAAGGCCTTAAAAACCTCCATTTATCTCTCTTCAATTTGAGTGCGCAGTCCGGGCGTGTATCCAGAAAGCCTTTATGTGAAAAATTTAAGAAAAGATGATTTTTGACTTAAAAAGATAATATTAGTTGACTTCGATCATCATTTTGGGTAAATAGACCTGGACCCGTGTTCCGACTGTCCTAGAGGGTCCATAGTAAAATATGGGACCCGGGCGTATGCCCGAAATCGAATTCCGAGGTCCCTAGCCCGAGAAATGAATTTTTAAATTTTTTTTATAAGATTGAAAATGCAATGATTTAAATGATTTGATCATATTAGTATCGGGCCCGTATTTTGGTTCCGGAGCCCGGTAAAGGTCCGTTATAATATTTAAACCTTATTTGTGAAATTTGGAGAAAAAACGAAAGTGATTTGACGTGATTCGGACCTTTGGTTGAGAAAATAGAAAGTTTGAAACTATCTTGAAAATCTCATGTGTTTTGGTGTTGAATTCATAGTTCTAGATGTTATTTTGGTGATTTGATCGCGCGAGCAAGTACGTATGATGTTATAAGACTTGTGTGCATGTTTGGTTTGGAGCGCCGAGGGCTCGGGTGAGTTTTGGATAGGCTACGGAGTGATTTTGGAACTTAGGGAATTGCTAGTGTAACTGGTATCTGTTGCAGGCCTCTGATCTCGCAAGATCAGGCTTCGCAATTGCGAGCCAAACAGGCATGGCATTTGCGAGATCTTCATCGCAATTGCTAAGAAGGCCTGGGCCAGCAGGGTTCGCAAATGCAAACCAACCTTCCAAAATGCGAAGTAGTCAGGGAAGGGTGGGTCATCGCAATTGCGACTTTGCATTTGCGACAGTAGCAGAAATGCAGTAGGTTCGCATTTGCGACGCCAGTCTCGCATTTGCGAGCTTCGCAATTGCGAAGCTCAGGTCGCAAATGCGACATCTGCAACTGTGCAAAAAGAGACTTAGACGGGATTTTTGATCCATTTCGAACATTTTCAAAACCTAATCTTCAAGAGGCGATTTTCCAAAGAGTTGTTCTTCCCCAAACCATAGGTAAATGATTCCTAACTCATTTCTTTCAATCTATTTCATCTTTTTACAAGATTTCATCATAAAAACTAGGCTTTTTCATGGGGGAATTGGGTGTTTTTGGGTAGAATTTAGGAATTTCAAAATTTGGGATTTAGACCTTAAATTGAGGTCGGATTCCAAAACCAATTGTATATCTAGGCTCGGGGGTGAATAGGTAATCGGGTTTGGTTCGAACATCGAGTTTTGACCAAGCGGGTCCGGGGTCGATTTTTGACTTTTAGGGAAAATATTGGGAAATCTATAAGTATGCATTGGAATTGGTTTCTTTAACGTTAATTAATGTTAATAAGTTAATTATGAATAGATACGAGCGGATGGGAAGTTGAAACTAAGGGAAAAGCGGAATTTGAGGCTTGAGTTTGACCGTGGAATCGAGGTAAGTGTTGTGCCTAACCTTAGCTTGAGAGATTAGGTATTGTTGCCTTATTCGCTACATGTTTAGCTGTTCAGTACCACGTATAGGTGAGGTGACGAGTGTCTATACATTGTTGTCGGGTCATAGCATGCGAGTGAGTCTTATACTTGTGACTGTTGTGTTTTTTTATACGTACTGTTCCTGCTTAAACTGGTTATTACTCAAGTTAAACAAGTCTTCTTATGTATTCCTAGTTTTGGATATTGGTTGAGTATTGGCTCAAACTGAGATTTATGTTGTGAAGTTGAATGATGAAACGAAGTTGTTTAATTATGATGCCCTTGCCGGGTTGTTATTATTTCTGTTGTTTCTTATGTGGTGAGGAAGAGTGATAAAAGTGTCACGACCCTAAACCCACACCCGGTCGTGATGGCGCCTCTCATGAAGACAAGGCCAGCCGACACACTTCCAATTCACTTTAAGCAGTTAATATAATAAAACAAGGTCTTTAATATAAATAAATCCCAAAAATAGCAATATAAGTTGTGGAAATAAAATAAACCAACACACCCCTACATCGAGGTGTCACCAGTCACGAGCATCTAAAACCATACTAAGAGTCTAGAGTCTAGTCCACTACTACGTAACTGAATCAAAAGAAACTTAAATAGAGGGAGAATGCACTGGGCTGCGAATCGCCAAGCAGCTACCTAGTATATCTCCGAAGGCCTGCTGGAACTATCAAACCTCAGGAGCAAGACCTGTAGCGCCCGAATCTGCACACAGGGGTGCAGGGGGTAAAGTGAGTACTTTTAACTCAGTGAGTAATAAAAATAAATAAAGACTGAGTAATATAAACCACGTAAGGCACAACATTAAGCTACAAGAGGCATAACAAATCAGTAATTAAAATAAAGCAGTGAAATCTTATAACATCTTTTAAACAGTTAAACAACATACAGGAAAGACAACTAAAAAAAAAAATAAACACATAATAACTGCCCCTCAGGCACAGTAACAATAGAATCAGCCCCTCGGGCAATGTCACAGAACCATATCAGCCCCTCGGGCTATATCTCATATCACAATGGATACCCGCGCTCACTGGGGGAGTACAGACTCCGGGAGGGGCCCCTTACGGCCCAAGCGCAATATCAGGCCATCTCGTGGCATCATAAATAGGCTCTCGCCTCATATCAATATCAAGTCACCTCGTGGCGTACAATCTCAGGCCCTCGGCCTCATTATCATAATCAATATATCACTGCTACGGCGTGCAACCCGACCCAAATGTATCCTCACAACAGCGGCCCTCGGCCTTACTCAGTCAGAATCTCATAAGCCCCTCGGGCCACAGTAAAATATGAAGCTCAGCTCAATTACCTTTGAAAATATCATTTAGTGTGTTTAAAACAGAATAATACAGCTGAGTCTTTAAAATAGTAAAATATAGTATGACTGAGCACCAGTATAAAATCAATCAGTGAGGATAATATCATTTAAAAATCCCCTAAGGGTTCAAACAGTTGGCACGAAGCCCACATATGGCATTTAGACCAAAATATAATAATACCAAACAATTAACTATCAAATACGCAGTAAAATAATCATTCGGGATGGACTAAGTCATAATCCCCAACGGTTCTCTACCCCAAGCTCGTCATCTAGCGTGTAAGTCACCTCATTATAGCCATACGCTGTGAAATTCCGGGGTTTCATACCCTCAGGATAGCATTTAAAATCATTACTCACCTCAATCCGGCCCGAAATCTAGCTAGCAATGCCTTTGCCCTTCGAAACGACTTCCGAATGCTCCAAATCTACCAAGTTCAGATTTTTATCATTAAATTATGCTAAATGAATAAATTCCAATTGAAAAATATCGATTTTAAGCACAAAACCCGAAATCGGCCAAAACCCGACCCCCAAGCCCGCATCCCGGAACTGGACAAACTTTATACCAAATGTTCTTCATCATCTCACGAGTCCGTACATATAAAGAACTCGAAAATCGGAGTTCGTGTGGCCCCTCAAATCATCCCTGAAAGGTCTCATAATCTCAAGCCCTAACTCCACCTTTTTCTACTGATTTTCATGAATTTGCACTCATATTTTCGTTTCTTAGTCACAAATAATCAAGTTTTAGGGTCCAAAATCCTTACCTCAATGAAGAACAATGATTTCCTCTCTTCCAAATCGCCTCAAAGCTCTATTTCCCGCTCTAAAATGGTGTATAAGGGTTCAAAGTCGCGGAACAGGTCTTTAAAACATTCTGCCCAGCTATTAAAATTCCTTCATCGCGAACGCGGTCAAATCCTCGCGTTCGCGAAGCACAAATATTCTGCTGACCAAAACTCTTCTTCGCGAACGCGACCCCACCATCGCGAACGCGATGCCTCACCTTACAAACCTACGCGAACGCGTCTAAGCCTCCCGAGAACGCGATTCTTTCAATCCCGGCCCTTCGCGAACGCGGGACTCCCCTTCGCGAATGCGAAGGGCAAACATGACGCCTCCCTTCCCGACCCTTCGCGAACGCGAAGACCAAAATGTCTGCAACTGCTGGAACTCAAAATCTGCAACTTTCTTAACTTCAAAATGATCCGATTGACCACCCGAAACTCGCCCGAGGCCCCCGGGATCTCAACCAAGAGTACCAACATATCCTAATACCTTATTCAAACTTGTTCCAATCATCAAAACACTTCAAACAACATCAAATCACCCAAAACACATCGGATTCAAGCCTAAGTTTCTAAAAACTTCCGAATTCCGCTTTTGATCAAAAACTCAACCAAACCACGTCCGAATGACCTGAAATTTTGCACACACATCCCAAATGGCACAACAAAGCTACTGAAACTCTCGAAATTCCATTCCGATCCCTATATCAAAATCTCACCTATCAACCGGAAACGCCAAAAACTTAATTTCGCCAATTCAAGCCTAAATCTTCTCCGGACCTCCAAAACACATTCCGATCACACTCCTAAGTCACAAATCACCTCCCGAAGCCAACCGAACCATCGAAAATCACATCCGAGCCGTCTAACGCATATGTCAACATCCGGTTTACTTTTCTAACTCAAGCCTTCTTAAAAGAGACTAGGTGTCTCAAACCTTCTCAAAACCTTTCCGAACCTGAGCCAACCAACCCGATCACATTTAAAACCAATAATTAAGGCAAATAGAAGCAGAAATGGGGAAAACGGAGCGGTAACTCATGAGACGACCGGCCGAGTCGTCACATCCTCCCTCTCTTAAACCAACGTTCGTCCTCGAACGGTCAAGAAACGTACCTGAAGCCTCGAATAGGTGAGGATATCTGCTCCGCATCTCCTGCTCGGTCTCCTAGGAAGCCTCCTCCACGGGCTGACCTGTCCACTGCACTTTCACTGAAGCTATGTCTTTTGATCTCAACTTCCGAACCTGACGCTCCAAAATAGCTGAAGGCTCCACCTCATAAGTCGGATCACCCTCCAACTGAACCGCGCTAAAATCCAGAACATGAGACGGGTCCCCAACATACTTCCAGAGCATAGAAACATGGAATACTAGGTGCACACCTGACAGGTTGGGTGGCAAAGCAAGCTCATAAGCCACCTCCCTAATCCTCCGAAGTACCTCAAAAGGCCTAATGAACCATGGACTCAACTTAACCTTCTTTCCAAACCTCATAACACCCTTCATGGGTGAAACCTTCAACAGAACTTTCTCACCAACCATGTAGGACACATCACGAACCTTCCTATTAGCATAGCTCTTTTGTCTCGATTGCGCTGTGCGAAGCCTCTCCTGAATCACCTTCACCTTGTCTAAAGCATCATGCACCAAATCTGTACCCAATAGCCTGGCCTCACCCGGCTTAAACTAACTAACTGGAGATCTACACCGTCTCCCATACAAAGCCTCATATGGAGCCACTCGACTGGTAGCTGTTATTATAAGCAAACTTCGCGAGCGCTAGAAACTGATCCCATGACCCTCCGAAATCAATGACACAAGCGCGTAACATATCCTCCAATATTTGAATAGTGCGCTCGGACTGTCCGTCCGTCTGAGGGTGAAAATTTGTGCTCAACTCAACCTGAGTACCCAACTCTCGCTGTACAGACTTTCAAAACTGTAAAGTAAATTGAGTGCCCCGATCTGAAATGATGGAAACTGGGACACCATGCAACCAAACAATCTCCCGGATATATATCTCTGCTAACCAGTCAGAGGAATAAGTAGTACAAATAGGAATGAAGTGCATAGACTTGGTCAGCCGATCTACAATCACCCATATAGCATTGAACTTCTTCAAAGTCCGTGGGAGCCCAACTACAAAGTCCATAGTGATCCGCTCCCACTTCCACTCTGGAATATCCATTCGCTGAAGCAAGCCACTCGGTCTCCGATGTTCATATTTCACCTG